CAGTGGCCCTCTGGCTAACATATGATGCCCACTAAAGACATAGTGGCTTACGTGTCTCTGGCTGCCCAGGGCCACCTTAGGCCCCTGTGCTGTAGAGACATGTCTGAACAGTAGTGAACTGGCCTCAGCATTTTCCCACCAGGACCCTCCTGGCAAATTCCATCCTGGCCCCTCCACCAACTCCTCCCACATCTTGCTCTCCTCCCCTTGGTGTTTCTGTATGTGCTTCTACCTCCACACTTTACCTTTTGCTGTTTTCTCAGTTTGGGATGTGCACTTTCTTCCTTTAGTCAGCTCATGGGCTCATCACAGCCCGTGTGGCACCAACTGCAGGGACCTACTGCAGCAGACGGCAGGGGAGGGAAGGCCTCTGAGCAGTGGTGGGAAGGAGAAGGAGCCACTGTGGTGCTCCACATCCTGGTTGTAGAGTCTTTGCAGTGACTGATCAGGGTGTGAAGGCCTGAATTTTGCTCTGGAAAAAGATACCCTGGGGTTTGGCTCCCTGCTACTTGTCCTTCCTGGGGGAATTGGGAGCTCCCTCAGTGCAAAAAGGCCAGAGTCTCAGGGCCCGGGGGCCAGGGAGAGAAAGGAGAAGCCTCCTCAGGCCTTGTATTGGGGAAGCAGGGATCCCAGCATGCAACCTGGGAAGGGCCTGGGCCAGCATTTCGGCTCTGGAGAGATTCATCAGGGCAGAGGTTTTCAAACTTCAGACTCTCAGCAGCAGAACCCTTTCCTTGAACACAAGGGACTTAGAGCACCCAAGTTCAAGCCTGAGGGAAGTGGGGTTGGGCTAGAGCCCTGGAAGCCAGGACCTCCTCTTAAGGACACCCTGGATCCAGACTGGCGGACACACACACCCAGAGGACCACTGCTCTAGGAGGAAGTTGGGACACAGGCTGCCCCTGGAGGCCTGGGACTGAGATGACAACTCAGGGTTTTTCCTTGTAATGGAAACCTCCTTCTTTTGCTCACCTTTGGTATTTGGTAATGGCCCTCTGCAAACTCTGGCCTGCTTTTTTGTCCTTCAGAGGAG